CGCCGAGAGTGGCCACCTCGCCCCACCTCGCCCCACCTCGTCCCACCCCGCCCCGCTGAGCCCGCCCTACCCAACCACCTCACCCCGGCCGTCCCTGCCTGATCACAAATCATTTCCGGTCCGGGGGAAGAATGTGAGTCGCCTGGCTGCACCGCTTTCACTTTGCGGCCGCGGCGAGGCTCAAGTGAAGGGGTGGCGGTCAGGAGGAGGGGAGGCAGAGCAAGGGCGGCTACACCATGCTACACGGGGCCCCCCGGCCCGGCCTCGGCCTCGGCCGCCGCAGCGCGGAGCAGAGCCGAGCGGAGCCTCGTATTTGCATACAGCCGGCGGTGAGAAGGAGGCGGGCGGCATGGGCAGCGGGCACACACACATGCACACGCACGCGCACACACACACACACACACACACACATGCGCACGCACGCAGGCACAGACGCACACACGCACACATACACGATAGGGAGAGAGCCGCAGGAGGGGTCGTGCGCCGGCAGGTTGTCGCCGCCTGCTGTAGGGCGGATAGGCCGCAGCGCTGCTCGAGGGTGCGGCGGGTGGCCTACCCCCCGCGTCTCAGGCGGCGCCGCAGTGAAAGCAAGCAGCGGGGACTAGAAAAATAAGGGAACCAGCGTGACAGGGAAGAAAAAAGAAATGGAAAAAGGAAGGTAAATCGAACAGCTGGAGTCGAGGCGGGACGGGACGTGCTGTCGTGGGGCAGGGGCGGCGGGCGGTTGTGCGCAGTGGGGAGGAGCCGACTGGATGTGCGGGCTCGGCGGGGAGTGGCAGCCGTCGGTGCGGAACAGGGCGCCCGCTTGCTAACACGTGACACATGCGTGTCTTGGACCCTTCCGCCCCCGGCCGCGCTGGGACCAGAGCCACGGGGCCGGGCAGGTCCCGCTCCTGCGACGGGTTAGTGAGGCTGAGGCAGGCCGTGAGGCTGAAGCCGTGGGGCTGGGGCTGTTGAGGCTGAGACCGTGGCTGTGAGGCTCAGGTCGTAAGGCTGTGGCCGCAAGGCGACCGTCAGGCGCAGGGAAGGCCCGGCCCCAGGGCCGCTACGGCGCCCGCCAACGCCAGACAATCCCTCAGGGAGTCTGGGCCCGGGTCTGTGCCTCGCTGATGTCCTACATTGTGGGGGCCTCACCCCCCCCCGGGCCGCGCCGGCCCCGCGCCAGCCTCCGGCCGGGCTCCAGTTGTGTATCCTGACAGTCGTCCCGGCCGCCCCGCGCGCCGCTTGGACCTGGAGGCCAGCTGCGAGGGAGGCGGGGGAGATTACTCCAGCTGCCAGCCCCGACTGACTGGGCGGGGTGACTCCCTGCCAGCCCCGTCTGCCCGGCCCAGGACCCGGCCGGCCCTGTCCACCACCCAGTCATGGCCCGGGCGAGGGCCGGCTGCGTCCGGGAAATTGGATTTGCCTCGGCCGCCCCTCGCGTGCCATCGGCGTGCCATAGGCGTGCCCGGGCGTGGCCCACCCACGCGACACAGGTGTCGCTGCTGTCGGGCGCAGCACGGCCCGTCGCGCCCGGCGCCGTGTGCTCCGGCCCTTTCTTTATTTTTATGCCCTCTCCGGTGAAGGACCCGTCGAGGGCCGGGGGCCAGGGGGCCGGGGGAAGCCGTGGGCCGAGGTGAGCAGCGGCCTATTGCTCCCCCTCCCCCCTCTTGTGAGTGAGTGGACAGCATGCTGATGGCCGCTTGGGACTCGCGGGTTGGACAGCTTTGTCCTTTCACTCCATCGCCTCGCACCATGACCTCACCACCCCCGCCGCTCGCGCTCGCGGTGTCGAAAGAGGGAGCAAGGCGAGCTGTCACCGTACCTGAGGGTTCCTTGACTTCAAATTCAAGACATCATTTGATTTTAAATCGTTTTAAGTTTTAAAAATATTTTTTTCGACTTAGAAAATTTTTTGTTGTTTTGTTTTATCGATTTAATTTGTTTCATGATTTCCGCTAATCGTCCCGATTTCTTCAGTGGCTCGTATGATGGCGATGGCTGTCCCTGGCTGTCAGCGAGGTCAAGGCTACAGACACCAATGACTCCCTGCGGCATTTATTGGGTTCACGGCGGAGGGGTGGACTTGCACCGCTGTCTTGTAGAGCGCTCGCCGGCCGCGGCCATCCAGCAGCCCCTGGCTGTTTGTCGAGTTCAGAGAGAGGGGAAAGCGCTGTACTGGGTACTCTGTCGCCTGCTCGCCGTGGCTGTTTGTCGAGTCCGGAGAGGCTGGGTCGGGTCCACCGCCCCACCTCCCATACCAATTAACGGCCGAGGCGTGAGAGAACGCCCGGGTGGAGGTGGGAGGGGGGAGGGGAGGGGTGAAAGGACCACGCCGGCGAGACGTGGGACGAATATCCCGGGTGGCTATAAGAGCAAATAGTACAGTCAGACAAACCCTAATACCTCGCCGGTCTCTTTATTTTGTTTGTTCCTATCGAAAGGTAAAACAAAATGCCTACTACATTCAAACTCTTGTTGCTCCAAGGTAAAACAAAATGCCTACTACATTCAAACTCTGTTGCTCCACTGCTTACAGCTGACATTCGAATCCTTCACCGTGGGCCGCTTCACGTCCTTCACGACGGACGGCTGCCCGGACGGCTCCATGTCGGTGAGCGAGTCCGGGCGGCCGACGGCGGGCGGCGCGTGGTGCGGACCGGCCTGGGGGCCCGCCGTGTACTTCTCCGAGACGCGGTCGCTGCTCGTCACGGTGCGCCTGCTGCGCCTGCACAAGGACTCCTCCGGCTACAACTTCGACTTCCGGCTCGGCTACCGACTCCTGCCCAGGGACCGCGCGGTAGTGCGCTACGGCGGCAGGGTGCCAGGTGAGCAGAGCGAGCAGCGGAAGGCAAGGCTCCAAGGGGTACAACGATTTTTCCCTTTTCCCCCCCTTGTTTTCTTGTATGATATTCTTTATTTTTTTATTTTTCTGATTGTTTTCGACGGTTCAAACTTATTTTTTTATAGTGAAGGACCCCTCGGGAGGCTCTCATTCCATAATACACTGTCATCGAGAATGCGATGATGACTACAAAAATTTAGCAATAACTTTTCATCGCATCCAGGATGCGATAACTTTTCATCGCAAAATTAATTGCGATAACTTTTTATCGCAAAAATTAAGGCAGTAACAAATTTATTTCAGTAGTGTGCGTCTCCCGATTTTACCAAACTTCCTCCAATTTTCTCTGATCGCTAAAAATCGCTCAATATCCGTAAAAATCAGTCAAAACCCGAAATAATCGGTTAAAATCCGTTAAAATCGGTCGAAATCAGTACAAATCGGTCAAAATCGGTCAAAATCCGTCAAAATCGGTCAAAATCGGTAAAATCCGTAGAAATCAGTAAAATTCCGTGAAAATCGGCCAAACCCCGTAAGAATCCGTCAAAATCGGTCAGAACTGGTCAAAATCGGTCAAAACCCAAAAGAATCCGTAAAAATAGGTAAACGTCAGTAAAATTCCGTATAAATCTGTAAAAATGCGTAAAATTCGGCAAAAATCAGAAAAATCGAGAAAAGTTGAGAGATGAGAGATGCGCAGAGGTATGCTCTAATAATGCGATTCATTGTTATTTTTTATATAAAGTTATTGCAAGATTTTGCAATAACGAGTTATCGCATCCTGGATGCGATAAATAATGGGAATCGCAAAGTGGGAGTTATTGCAAGATTTTGTATTACTATTATCGCAAATCCACTGTCAGTGTACGTGACGGACATTTAATAAACCGCACAGCGATACAAGCAACACTTCTTGTTGCTGTTATTTTGTTGTATTTTTGTCTGCACGCTGATTTTGAATACGATCTCTTTATTCTCTTGTCAATCGTCGTGAAGAGGCCTTAAAATTATTCGGGAAGGACGTCCGTCATTCGCCGGCCTTAGGCACCTGCCAAGTTCAGCCTCTGCAAGCTCCCGTAGCGCCTGGTAGGCAGGCAACATAAAGCCTGCAGTGCGTACGTGTACTGCGGGTCGGCCTACCCCGCGTCTCGCAGGCGCTCAAGCTCCTCTGATTCGCCTGAGATTTGTCTGAGCAAAACGGTCGCACGATCCCCTAACATCTCTGGGCGGGTGGGGGTGGGGTCGGGGGACTGAAGGGTAGCCTTGGCCTTCCGGGAACGAGGACGCGGCGAGTCACGGGCAGATGGCGGGTGGTACTCGTGGAAGGACACGTCCTCCTTGGAGGGAGATTGGAGAGCTCCCCAGAGTTCACTGAAAGCGTCTTTTAACCGGTCAGAGTAGAGTAGGAGGAGATGGGAGGCGTCAGGGAAGCGCCCATAAAGCTTTCCAAATCTTCTCCTTGTAAGTGGAATAACAGGCACTTTCAGAAAAACAAGGTTTGTATTTTATTGCTTTGCTGTAGGGATACTTTTACTTCTGTCGTCAGAATCTAGAAATAGGTTTACAAATAAGACCTTCGGAAACGAAAGAACACAACACTGCGGACACAAGAAATTTAATTTCTAGGGTATCCGTTGGAACTGAGACGAACTCGCGCCCTCTCAAAGCCCACTCGAAACTCCAGTGAGAAATTCAGTATCGAATCGACGTCGATGTCAAGAGGTTTCTCACAGGTTACAGTGTTGAAGCGATATCAGCAAACAGGCAGCCATGCTGCGCCAAGTTACTCACCATCACAAAAGGGACCAAAGGCGCTTTATTTTCTCCCCGAGCCTCGCTTCTTCTATCTTTTCTTCTTTCCGAAACTCTTTCTCACCCTAATAGGAAGTTGTTTCCCCCGGGAATGCATGGGGGCTGGTGGCTCGGGTAGAGTAGAAGCAGCGCGTTGGGCCTGGAAAGGGGCCGGGGTGGAAGGGGGGGGGGGAGTGTTACACCTGCCTATTAAGTAGACGACCGCCTCTGACCTCCTTCCCCGCCATAGCACCGCGAGAGTCGGGTCTCGCCGCAAGAAGTAAAGAAGTGAGGCAGAGAAAAAAAAAATGCATTCGCAAAGTATTCGCGGCATGCCGTGCGCGCGGCAGGGCAGCATGTGGCCGAAGCTCGACAACTTCACCGTGCGCCTTGGCCTCGCGTTTCCTTTTTCTCGTTCACGTTCATTTCGCGCAGGTAAAGTTAGCGCGCCCCGCGCGGCCCCCACGTTGTTGTTGTCGTTGGACGAATTCCGAATTGGCCGCCGTATCGCTCGGCGGAGAAAAGGTAGGGGAGCTCGCGACACGAAAGCACGCGGAGGGGGAGATAAGTTTTAATGAGCGCCGACAAGAGTGCTTGTGGATTAACGCGCGGCTGTTAACGACCCGGCGTCCTCCCGTCTGTTGCAGAGAACGTGTACTGGCCGCCGCTGCCGGGCGAGGGGAGCAACGCCACGAACACCAACAGCATCCTGCCCGGCATGGGCGGCATCATCGGCGCCGAGCCCACGCCGCCGCCGCCGCCACCGCCACCCCCGGGGCCGCCGCAGGGGCCCGGCAACCCGTGGTGGGGGCTGGGCGTGGGCGTGGGCAGCGGCGCGGGCGGCGGCGGCGGCCTCCCCACCGGCGACGAGCACTACCTCGGCGACCTGATCGCGGGCACCTACTGCTCGCGGCTCTTCTCGGACTGCGACCGCAAGCCCTGCCGCCTGCAGAGCCCCAACTTCCCGGGCGTGTACCCGCGCAACCTCACGTGCTACTACGCGGTGCGCCAGCACGAGGTGCCCGCCGGCATGCACGCGCTCGTCACCGTCTCGCAGCCCGACGGCCAGCTGACGGCCGTGCGCGCCACGGGGCCGACGGGATCCTCGTCGTCGCGCGGCAGCGGCGGCACGGCGCGCGGCTCGAACCGCGGCCTGCGCGTCTGGCAGGAGTGCGACGAGGTGCAGGACTACGTGACGGTGTACGACGGCTACACGACCCGCGACCCCGTGCTGCTCCGCTTCTGCGGCGGCGGCGAGCCCGTGCCCGCCGTCACCTCCTCCGGGCCCGAGCTGCTCGTCGAGTTCTCCACCTCGGCCTTCGGCTGCCTGGAGCAGCCCGGGCCGCTGCAGCCGCTGCACGGCTTCCAGCTCGAGGTGCAGGTGCAGTTCGTGGACGCGCGCTCGCCGCAGTACTCCAAGGGCAAGCGCTGCGAGCTGTGGGTGCGCGGCGCGGGCCGCGGCCTGCTCGAGTCGCCGCGACACTCGCTGCCCAGGAACGCGACGTGCCTGTTCCACCTGCAGGGCGTCTCGCTCCCCGAGGACGACCCGCCCTCCGCCCACGAGCCGCCCGCGCGCTTCCAGCCCGCGCCCTGGAGGGCCAACGCCGCCCTGCCTCCACCCAGGTGAGCAACACACACCGTGAGCAGGACAGTGACTAAGAAAGATAAAATTAAATGTCTATCTTTCTTGGGGTAGAGGAACTCAATGTCCGCCTTCAGGCGATACGTAAAGTTAGAAAATTACCCGTGTTGATGCATTCTTCGAGAGTTTCTTTTGCAACCTCTTTCACTCTCACCTCCACGCCCCCTTCCCCCCTTCACTTTTAACAATTCACTCATCCCCTTTTGGCCCTATTGAAAAAATCAAATCCCCCCGATAAATTATGTCGTAAACAAACACCGCCCTCCCTCCCTTTCCGCACTTTCCCGCCACAGGCAAGCAGCGCGCCTAGTTTTGAGGTTTCGCTCGCTGTCGCCTTGTGCCGTCGCCCCCCGAGACCCCTCCGGAGACCCCGTGGAGCGTGGAGCCCACCTGTATGTCAGTCCCGCTGGGCCGACGCATAAAGGTATTGGGCCAATGAATAAAATATGAGCGGTGGTGGCGCGCGCGGCGTGGCGGGGCGGGGGCCTTCGGCACGGACTCGTGCTTGTATCATTTATCACTGTCCCGCATCCAGTGCCAACCCCCCCCCCTCCCCCCGCATCATATCGTCTCCCTCTCGCTTTGAGCTACGAAGGATTTCGCACGACCGGAAGTAATGTAATATTTTTCATATTGCGAGTCGGTCGCGCGCCTCGCTCTAGCAGCCGCGCAGCCGGCGCATTAAAGGCAAAGCAGAGTACATATTGATTTCGTTTCGGGCGCGGCGCGGGTATACGATCACGTCGTCGGGCTCCGCCTGCGCCCAGACGTCGCGACCCACACTGCTCTCCTGCATTTTATTTTTTGGTCTGCCACACAGGTTCCGCGTCTGGCTGTCCGTGCTCAAGTTCCACGTGACCACGGGCCTGGACCCCACGCCCACCACGCAGATCGTGCAGCAGGAGGAGGGCTGCGCCTCGCAGCTGCGCGTCTGGGACGGCTCCGCGCCTCTCAAGTGAGCGGAACGCATTATTGCATGACTCTTTTCATCATGACTAGGGATTTTAAATTTGGCATTTTTCAAGAAAAAAATTAATCATTTCCAGAAC